GTCATTCTACCAGACAGGCCCAATCAGTGGAGTGCAGAAATGTTTGTCCTTCTAGAAGGTTCTCCTCTCTCCACACTGCAACACTGGAGCTCTGTGAAAGTGATTATCGGGTTCTTCGTCACCTCCCTAACTAAGGTCCTGACCACTCAGATTGGTGGGGCGGGCAACTCTAAGAAGAGCCCTGGTGATTCCAAACTTCTTCCATTAATGTGCTCATTGGGACATTCAATGCTAAAGAAATTTTTCTGTACTCTTCCCCATATGTGTGTCTTGATACAATCTTGTTTCACAGGTGTGAATATTTTCCAGATGATCTCGATGCTGCTCAAGTAAAAGAAGCAAAAGAAAACAAAACCGTTTTTAGATTGAACTTTGAGTTTCTTTGAAGTTGTGAACTTTCTAATCGTGATTTGATGCACTTATAATAACACTCTTTCAGCAGTTACATTAAGGTACTGATGTCTCCATCCTGTTTTTACAGCCAGAGTTACACAGGGTCTTAGTGAAAAGGTATCCAGCTGCTGTGAACTGAAGGCTTACAACCCAGTGAATGAAATATGTTGCCAGTCAGCCATCATAGCAAAACCTTCACCAATGGCTGAGTGTTGTGGTAAAGGTGAGTAGATGCACTGATGCATTAAATCAGTATACAAGTATACAATGTAAGTATCGAATTATGTTTTCTCCATCACTAAGTTTTGAGTGTCTGCTGCGAATTTGTAGTTGTTTGAGTATTAAATCGTCGGATTCAGTTAAGGTGCAAACTGAAAGAGATAGGAAACTGCAAGGTGGTGTCAAGAGAGAATATAAGTAGCCACCATCAGATGGCAGACTTTGGAAATCAAGAGAAATGACTGAAGGCAGAGAAAATGATTAAGTGGTGGCTTGATGCATGCGCAATCATTCAGGTAAGGGAATGCCAACATTTTCATTGGGAGAAACGTTTTGTCACTCATCCAAGTGATTTCTTCAGTCTCAGCTGACTGCTGGTTCCCCAACCTTATAAGTAATACATCTGCATAATGACAGGCACTATCACCACTGACTAACAATGGGTCATGAGGGCAGTTTCATGATCATTATTATGCAAATTGTCATGACCATTAAGTTTTACATCAAGATCACCCAGGGTTAAAGTCAAAATCAAAGGATGTTGTCTTTATGGATTTAGTCAACTAGACTGCACCATATATACCAAACATTAGCCAACATGGCCACTGTCCAACCTCTAGCAAGTATAAAGCTAATATAATGGTGGAAGTATTACTAAGGGACATAACTAGATTGAATTGAAATCAGTGATTGTCTTTTGAAACAGTCATAATGAGATGCATCAGGGCACTCGTTTGGGAAGTCATTACGAGGCACTTTCTAAATGAACTTTAATTTACAAGGTCAACAAGACATAAAAACTGAATGTACAGAATATATAGTAAAACATGGTTAGAAAACACACACACACACACACTTAAAGGTTTACCAACATTGCAGCAGCTTGACAGCTTAGCTATGGTTAAGGTAAGTTAAGAAAGCAAAAAACAAAACATATTTTCTTTTCACAGATGTTTTTGATAGGGTCAAGCAGATGTGTTGTGGTTCACCTGATATTAAGACGAGTCTGATGAGAGATTCCAGTCACCATCAGTGCTGTGGTCACAGCCAGTATGACACCGAGACTCAGTGCTGTTGTTCAAGTGAGGAGAAGAGGCTGGAAGTACACCCAAAGATTTCATCCTGCTGTCTCAGGGACTCCACTTCAGGTCAATACAGTATGTCACACTGTGCAGAATAGATTTAATAAAATCTAAATCTGAAATCTGAAAGATTTTGTAGTTTGCATCATACTTTGCATGTTAGACCAAGACAAGAAAGTCATTTGATGGGCTAGAAATTTAAAAAAAAAAGAAAAAAAAGTCTTATCCCTCAAGACTATCTGCACTAGATATGCCATGTCTTTAATGTTGCATATACTTAAAAAAAAATCTTTGTGGGAGTATGATAGCTGTCACAGAGTATTTAAAGGAAGCCAATGTTAATTACTGTGAGTAATGAAATTGTGTTGACTGTCTTTGCAACTACAGCTCATTTATGTGGAAATGAGACCTATGACAAAACACATAACTATGCTGTCAGTCAACTGTTATTGACAAACGTTCACCGAATCACAGATGCTGTGACAAAAGTAAGTGAAGCTGAAAAAACAGAAAAGTATTTCACTGAATATACAGTAGATGATTAGGAAGATTATTCATCAAATGAAGAACATACAGACATCTTTAAAAAGCTCCATATTAGTTTAGCTATGATTAAAGTTCAAGTGTTTCAGTTTTTGATATGTGTATCTTTTCCACAGGGGCGTATGATGTGGAAAAGGAGCTGTGTTGTGGTCCAATTAGTGATAAGAAGATCCTGACAAGGAACTCCCCAGATCACGTGTGCTGTCATCAAGGCCAGTTCAACAGCAAGACTGAGTGTTGCTGCTGGCAGGATGATGGTGCTGAGATACAACCGAGGAATTCATCTTGCTGTGAGTCGTGTATATTTGAATGGCATAACTTGCCAAAGGCAGCTTAAAACACATCTTAAAATTTGATTTAAAAGTATGCTCTTCATTTTATATTTTATATTTAAATCATGAAAACTGAATACAGTTTTATTTTAGTGTTGGGAACAGTTCCATCATATTTATAATGAAATCAACTCATAGACCACAGTGCTTATCGCATTACATACTTATAATCAGATTAAATGCAATAAAAAAATTGTTAATATATTATCGTTTTAATCAAAATCCTTTGTGCTTCATGTTCACAGGTATGCAACAAGAGGTAAGTGTTATGTTTTCCAAGGAAGGAAGTTGTTAATAATTAAACTGAAAATAACAGACAAGCGCCACTCAAGGGCAACAAAA